TCACTTCCATACTCTGCAAGACTATGGAATGTGTACTCAACAACCGTCTCCTATCGTACCTTGAAGACAACGACCTCCTCAGTGATCGCCAGTACGGATTCCGACGAAGGCTATCTACTGGGGATCTTCTTGTGTATGCTTGTCACATATGGAGCGAGGCTATAGAAAAGCAAGGCGAAGCACTTGCAGTGTCTTTGGACATTTCTTAAGCCTTTGACAGGATCAGGCACGCAAACCTTTTAAGTAAACTTCCCTCTTATGGGCTTCCCACTGACATTTGCAATTGGATCTCGGATTTCTTGAGCGAACGTTCGATTCGAGTGGTCTTAGAAGGCTACTATTCCGAACATATGGCGATAGATAGAGCTCCTCAGGGTTCCGAACTGTCTGCAACTCTCTTTCTGCTGCATATCAATGATATGTTAATTCCAGGTACCTTTGCAGCTTGGTATATAGGCAGTCGACCAATGCAAGGGTCAGTGAAGAGGAAATCCAGTCTTGTAGAGAGTCGATGGTTAGCCGTTTAGATTTGACACTCTAGGCAGTCTCCGGTTGGGGCAATGCCAATCTTGTCAAATTTAACGCTACCAAAAGGCAGGCGTATCTATTCTCCACAAAATGGAGTCCCTTTGAGCTGACTCCGACTTTTCGTGATATATCCATACTTGGAATGGACCTGTCGTCCAATTTGAACTTCGGCAGATACATTGAATCCATGGCCGAAAATGCAGCAAGGAAGCTTGGAATCCTTTCCAGGGTGAGGCGTTACTTTACACCGGGACAGTTGCTTTAGTTGTCCGATCGTGCATGGAGTACTGCTGCCACCTTTGGGATGGCTCTGCGACATATCAACTGGCCACTTTAGATTCAATTGACAACAGTGCCAAGAGGCTTGTAGGTGACTCGGAATTAGTGGAGGCGAAGCTGCAGAGCATTGAACACCGCCGTAAAGTTGCCTGCTTGTCGGTATTTTACAGGATATATCACGGAGAGTGTGCGAATTACACAATTTAATTCCGCCTTCCCCTTTCCATTATCGGGGGACTAGGCGTAGGCTTGAGTTCCACCCTTATGTTGTGGATATTCCAAAGATTCACACGAAGCGTTACGCTTTCACATTTATATGGCGAACGGCTATGGAGTGGTATTCCCTGCCTGCAGACTTGTTCCCTGAACGTTATAACTTGGACCCTATCAAGGCGAGTGTGAATAGGCATTATTTAGGTGTGCATGCTCCATCGTCGACCTCATCGTCACTTTCCATCAGGTGAGATGGAGGTAAAATGCGCACCTATATTTTATAAAAAAAGAAAAGTTAATGTTCGCAAGTAAATTCAGAAAAAGTTAGAGGTCCGAGCACGGACTATAAACCACAGCCTCTGCTTTTTGTATTATATGTATGTATATTACTGTTACTTAAGGTATGTATGTAGTAGATATCTTTTGTTCCTGTCACGTCTAGTTTTTGAGGTACCGCCCGGTATCATTTTTAACCATCGAGTATTTATCCAGAAATAGAGACGAAATGTCATTTAATTTGTTTGAAAACTATTCTGCCAAATCATTACGGTGACAACTGCGCTCCGATTGGCCAGCCCAAATTCGAAGCAATTGACGAGTTTCACTTCAAAGGACCAGTTTAACTTGAGCTTTGCTATAATGGACGAAAATTGAAAAATTACATATTTAATTACCTATGAAATGTGATTATGTTTGCTGTGTAATTAGATGTTTTGCTGTTTTTCCCACACCACCGAATGGAACAGCCTCCCATTTTTAAAGATATTTATCTTTATTACAACAAATACAGAATATTTTTGGAATGTCAGAAGACGTACACACAGGTCAGTTGTTGGAGCTGTATTATTTCAGATTTCTGATTTGTAATTTCAGAGCAAAAGAGAGTAGATATTTAAAAGTGATATAGGGCCCGTTTGTTTGACGAGTTGTCAGGGATGGATGGTCCTTATTTCGTGTGTATTTCTAGTTATATAGTCGATGTTTTTAACTTTCTTGATTAAAGGCTTATTTGTAAAAGGTAACGTAATTGACGAACGCTATTAATTTGATATTAGTATCTTTGAGATAAATTATCTCAGAGCGTAATTATATAGTTTTACAACAAGACTACTTAAAGAAGTGGTTATTGTGAGTACAGAAATTAAACCAAAGCATGATTTTTTACGTGTGTGCATTATCAAGTCGCAAAGAATAAAAGTATACGAAAAATTATGAAATGCGTAATTCCTATATTTTGGGCATATTGCATATTAAGATAAGTCTTGCATTCCGTAACTGTATTGCATAACATGCTATGCTACTCTTTTGTCTTGGCAGAATATAAATAGAACATTCATGACTTTTACAGTAACCGATACCGTGGCGTGAACGCAGTAATTATTACAACCATTGCATATGACCTTGGTTACTCAACCGCTTGCACTGAGGGTGCTGGATGAGATGGTTACATTACAGTAGCACCAATTTGGGAAATTAACTTTTCTAAGTTGGTTAAGGTTTGGATGTTCTGGGTGTGCAGAATGAATTCCGTTACTCTGGTACTCATAGTACAGGGAGCTTCGAGACCAGTTCATTGGTATGGCTATCGAGCACCTATTGTTATCATAATTATCATGGACGTCACTAAAGGTTGCAGTGAAAGGTTTGTCGAGTAATCAGAGTAATCATAGAGGCAAAAATGTGGCACCCGTCGTAAATAATTTGTTACACGCATAGGCAAAAACAATGCGACACTGAATGTCGTTAAAAATCCATTTTTTCTGTTTCTTATTCTGTTTTTCGTTTCAAATCTTGGGAGCCGTTAGTAATGAACAGAAAAAGAGGTTTTACCAGGGTCTAATTGCGCCTGAAAAGGCTTAAGAAATGGTATTAAGGTCGTAGAAATGTAGCTAAGTTGGTAATTACTGATAACGTCTAAAGCGAGAAAATTTGTTTCAATACAAAAGTAAGAGTTAAAGAATAGACATTTTTTTATTTATTTTGTACACAATATTTCTTTTAGCTTTATATTTGGTGATTTATGCTGCAACATATGAATTAGAATTTATATGGTTGGATTTTCTTGAAAAAAAAAATTATGAAATAAAAATACATTCTGGGCATTGACTTACAAATAAATGGACGACAGGTCTAATACAAAAACCACGAAAAAAATGTCCCAAATCAACCTATTTAAACGTAGTTACATGTAAAAGAATATGAAAAAGCTAAAACGTTGAATTTAAATTGTAATGACTTTGCAGTACTGTCTAATTTTGCTTGCTTCGCTGTCAGTCGAACAAACGAAGACTAAAGCGTGAATGACGCTCTGTATATGATTTTAACGCCCTATAAGTTCGGATACTTTTTAGCGCGGACCCGACGTCCATATAATTGTAAGTCAATGATTCTGGGAGTTTACTTTTTAGTTACTTTACAAATAACCTAAAAAAATATAAGTGTTACATAAAATATTACACGAGAAGTTTAAATAAAGAAATACAGCTCTTTGAAAAGGGTATCAATTTTTATAAAAAAATCAAAAGTTGTGAAATTATTCAACGGCGTGTCAACAGACAAATAAATGGACAAATATTTTTATAATACCGAGTAATGGGACGAACAAATCGTGACATATAAAGAGATATACGTCAAAGGAAGGTCATGTTATAGATAAACAGTCTAAATTCTTTGTCTAGCTTAAATACGAGCGCCATATTGCTAGAGTGAACCTTTTACAAGAAGCGGTGGAGAAGTTTTTATCAACATCAACATCATCATCATTTAATATCTAACTGCCGGACACGGGTCTCCTCTAAATACAGGGTTTAGGTCTTTGTCCTCTACGATAGCCCCATGTGGGATTTCCAAGATTTGTGAATCATCTTCGATATTCCGTCACGATTTATTTCTTTACCATCACTGGGAAATTACTCGTTAACCTTTTCAAAAGTACGTAATTTGGAAATTAAGGGATACAAACCGTCAAACTCTCAATTGAAAAGCAACCATTGTCCTACTACCACCGCTTAGGTAACAATTACGCTTAATTACTTAAAATATGAAAACGAGATTTTTGCTGTACATAATGTTATTTCGAATTAGGACGTGAAATCGCACCAGAAAAGATTATTTATTTGATGACAATAAACTTAAATTAATAACAATCGTTCGTTATTACCCAACATATACCCATTACATAATAAAAAATATTTAAAAATTATGATGAGAGTCGATGCCGAGATGTATACAATATAGAATAATGTAGGCAATAATAATAATAAGGCACACACTCAACATAACTCCACACCAGGGAAACCCTGTGTCGCGGGTGACATGGACACACGCATTACACCCAAACTCACGAGAGAAATAAATGTAGGCCATACCAATATTTCTACTGGCCGGGAATCGAACCTGGGACCTCTGACCATGGAGGCTGTTACTATAATTATATAGCCACAGTCGTCATTGTATACACAAATACAATTTTCAAATGATTGAAAACGGTTGTCATATGTTGATGCAGTTAGTGTGCCAGAATTTAAACCGTTCTTTTAATGGTAAAGAGTTGAATTTAAATTTGAAACTTGAACCTTAATGCGTTGTTTAATATAAGCATCAGTACCAGGGAACTCCGTGTGCTATGTATGTACTGTGTGTTCCGTGTAATATCAGAGCTACGGAATTCACTCCGGAAACTAATTAATTTCCTTTATTAGTCCCACCAGGATTCAATTCAGCGCCCATAGTGTAAACCGCTTTGCCACCGAGGTTGTCAACGTAGACATTTTGTAATCAATTTTGGCCGATCACTGTCGTTAGTCAAAGGACATAGTCCAAAGACTCTCTTACAAAGTAATAAAGTCACTTCTATACAAGGTATAACGTCAAGGTCCAATAATACTTGAAAATATGAGAATGTGCGAAAAAAATTAACAACATTTTTATGTTACAACAGAATTTGAAAATGATTATGAGGAATATTTCTATGAACTTACCAGCATATATTACAGTGCCAAGCCGGCTCTTCTCTTCAAGAGGCGCCCATTTGCCAATAAGGTTGTGTATTGAAGGGTACAGAAAACCTTGCGTTAAACCTTGTAGGACACGGCAAGCGCAGACCAGTTGCCAACCACCCTGAAGTCAAACATTTATTTATTTTTCAGTAACCAACAACTAACACGTCTTAAAAACGATAGAGAACAGTCGCATGAGATAGTTTTAAGGATAACACTTTCAATATAATTTAATTACGAATGTAAGGTATAAAACAATAATTACCTATATGAAATCATTAAAGGAAAAACAAAAAAAATGACAGTTTTTTTTAAATTATTTAAATTGACAGTGGTAGGACACAATCAACTGAAAAAAAAAACATTACAATGTACAATGAGTAACCCAACAATAAAAACTTTCGCAATTTCATTTTGGTCCAATGGGACGTAATAAAATTCTCTCTCGAATAAACAAATATTTGCATATAACGTATGGGAGTTACCACACTTATTTATAATCGCCTTACTATAATATACTTACAAAATGTGATCCGATGGGTATCAATAACGAGATAACAGAATTGACAGTGACGCACGTTGTGATGAGGACCTTGCCTCCGAACTTGGCCGCCAACTCTCCGCCGGGAATTTGTAGCACGATGTAGCCCCAGAAGAAGGACGACAGAATCACGCTTTGGGTCTTTGTTGACCAGTCGAAAGACTACGGAAATCAAAGAAGAAAATAAAAAAGGCGTTACAACATTTTTTATGAAGACACGACCTAGAACAGCCAAACTAGAATCACTTAATAATAACAAAATTGAAATTCGTACTCGTGGTGTAGTAAGCCTACATTTGCACAATGACAATGTTTCAGAACAGACGTTCAAGATTCTATGAATTTGAAGATGCATCAAGCTCTGAAAAGTGTAATAGCCCAACTACCTGTTAACAGTATAATATTTATCAACACATATCAAGATATTGGCATATTTTGAATTGTTCATGTTGCCTTTTGATAGTTGGATATCTACTTGTATCTGAATGCAATCTTGCTTATCTTGACACTTCGAGTTACGTTTATACTTTGCACGCGAGTTTCATGTAACGGGCCATGTTTCAAGAACTCGGCCTCAAGCAGCGTCTGTCTGCTCTGGTACAAACTCGCTTCCTGAAATTCTTCGGTCATGTCTCTAGACGAAATTTTGACTCTCTAGGACGTCTTGTCGTGCAAAGCAGAGTAGATGGCAAAGAAGATCACTCATGCGATGGCCTGATCAAATAAAATCTGCAGTGGGCGGTTCTTTACATGCGTGTACGAGATTGTCCACTAAAAGAGATGGCGAGATATCGTGAAGCGGGCTACATCAACTTCTAACAAACATACTGCGTGATGACGAAACTATAAACTATTTGACGCTTGTATGATAGAGTCTTTGACATTTGTGGCTTAGGAGTAACATTAGTACGTTAGACTTTCATAACTATATGACAGCAACCTGCAAACAGGCGAGTAAGATATTAGGCTTTATTTTACGGACATCCTATGAGTTCAATGACGTGGTTGTGGCGAAGGTGTTGTATAACGCCTACGTATGCAGCAAACTAGAGTTGGCAGCTATAATTTGGGACCCTTGTGAATACAAATATTCTATTATGATTCAACGAATTTTTCTCTATTTTTCTACGAATTGGCTCTATAGACTGCAGTACGGGTATTACTCATACTTGTATCTTTCTCAGTTTGTTGCGGGAATGGTGGACTTAGACACTTTGTCTCGTAGGCGAAAGATGCTTCTTCTGGCTCAATATTTATCCGCGTTCCATCATAAGGTGGATATTGACATAAGATTGATCTGCTGATGCCGACGCGTATACCTTGGGGCGTCGAGGGTGCGGTGGCCCCGCGCAGCCGGCTGCGGCTCTTACGCAGGCCCGTCACGGTACGGTACATGCCGCAAACGCGCCTACCGTTCGCGCTATACGCCTGATCGGGGACGTACTCAGTGTGATCACATAGACATATTCGATGATAGCGTTGAATATATATGTAGGGAGAGTTGTAAATTTTTAGAATTAGAGTAGTTTAGTAATACCATAATTAAATATATTCATAATTATCTGTTTATGACATGTAAGCGTGCTGGCTATTTAGCTGCAAGTTTACAATGCAAATGAATGAATAAATAAATTACCGAATAAAATGTATAACAACTAACGTCATCATCTAAGGGGGACGTCATGGCGACGATGGCCATGCTCATGTTGACCCGCATGGCGTAGCAGAGCACCATCCCGAAGAACAGCAGACAAACCTGTGCGTGCCGCATGCCCAGTCCCGGTGGATCTGCAACGCACACAAGTACTGAATAAAGCCTTTATCAATATGATGACCGCGATAGTTCAGCGTATAAGCACCAGATATTTATATATTTGATATATTTTTTGATTGATTGATATATTTGAGGATAGATGGATCTTGGTATTCACTTCCGATCTAACCAAATGAATTATCTGCTCTAAATGAATGCCTAAAATAAAAATTGGACGATAGGTATGCTGAAATGTAAGACTGCTAGCACCCATTATACGAGTAATGATTACGGTCTCTTTTAAGCCAGTTCTTCATAGATGAGTGTGATAGTCGTTGCTTCAACATACTAACCGACAAACGAAAATTGTATGTTCGTTTACAAAAGCGATTAATGAACAACATAGAAATAGTGTCAAGTTTGTTGTAATACATTTTTTGAAACAAGGAATTTTACTTAACTCTAACACTTTCTATTCCCGCATGTGAAAAATGGATTATCGTTTACTTTTTTATTTCAAAATATCATTCTAATTATTTCTAAGTTAAACATTATAAAATATCAACGGTTGTTCCAAAGATGTAAGTGACTGAGTTTGTTTTATGTATTCTACATTATAAACCATTCCTAAATACAAGTCTCAAGTAAAAGCAAGTGCAAAATTATTCAAGAGTATTTATTTATCTTTGAGTAAAATTTAATTAAACTCACCAGTTCGATTGGTCTTAAATAATCAAAGTACGTACTATTTTTCATACTTTTAGGTATTTTTTCAAGAAATCAAAAATCGGTGAATAATTATACTACTTTTCCTGAAACCTATTCGTTTAAAAAAATACATTATCAGTAACTATGTACATTAGGCAAAAACTTTTATTTTTTATTTTTCTGAGTGTTCGATCTTTGTATTAATAATTATAACAAACTAGTGCAGTAATTTCACAAAAAAATACTTGAATATTAATTGAATAAAAATTTAAAATACATTGCTTACTGTCATTTTAAAAAACCTGGTATAGTATGTGGTATATTATGATAATAGAGCAACAGGTCCACATGACCCCATGAGCTTTTTGTTGCCTTTTTTATTACTGTAATTTTTAATGTAATCGGGAAGTATACCCCTTCTTAATTGATGTCTCTTAGAATGGGAGAAGTCATGTCAACTGCATAATTCGTGCAATTCGTGCAATTTTCATCTTAAATTGTATATTTTTATATTTATTTAATTTTTTTTAAATATTGTGTCAAATATTTCTTGGAGGACTAAATTACAGTCCTCTAAGAAATGTTTGACATAAAACTAAAGAAAGATGCAAAATGTTTACATGGACGCTGTACGTTTACTTTTTTTAACAAAAATTTGGTTGTAATCCTTTTTGGAATCCGCTACTAAATACAGTATTAAGTGGCATTTTTTATTTCATATTTTATTGTCTCCCAATTAGCTTTGCTTTTGCTAGTAGCTTTGAAAATCAAATAACTGTATTTTTTATATATTCGGAGTTGGAGTCAGTTATGATTGTAAACATAATGTAACAAATTGTATTGTTTACGTGATGTGCTTCACAAAATTACAAATTTTAGCTAATATTATTACATGTTGTTTTCTAATTATTAGAAAAACGATTTACTAAGCTATCTCGATCATTTTTTCTTTGTTTACAAATGTCACGTCAGCTTGAGAACTCAAACTGAGTGAGGCCGCAGAGAGAGTGACGCTGGTGTCGTTTCAATCAGTTCTGTTTAATCAGTCTTGTGACATGTAAGGCGTTGGTAGGGTTGCCATATGAAGAAGATAACGAGTGAAGTTGATGATCAATGCTTTAGAAACGAGCACGCATTTACAAGATGTGTTTTGTGAGAGTTACTTGGAAAGTAATAATCGGAGCGCGGCTACTCCCTGTGAATTTGCCACGTGACGTTTAAAATTCATTTTTACTTGATCCACCTTTTGTACATTCGCACTATCATGTACACTAACAATAAGATAAGAAGAAGAGGTGAAAATTATTCTTAACAAAACAACTATGACGTTTCTTAATAACCAGTCCGACCTACCAAATCATTAGCGACAGTTTTGTAAAGCTGTGGCATACTGAATATACGTTTGTCATTTATTTACTGTAGAATAAGACTTCATACACTACAAAGATGTGAAAAAAGCAGTTCTTCCTTGTGTAAATTAAAAAAAAAGCGGAAACCTTTGCTCCCTAGCATGTCCCATGCATACTTAATGGGCTTGAGATCGGTAGACAGAGCAGGTAACTCTAACAATGTGAATTCATCACAAGCCTTATTGTGTATGCACGTGCATGAACATCAAATTTTGGCCGAGCTGCTGTCGGTGAGGTATTGTTATGGGTTGCACAACTTCGTCGCAGTATTGTACCTCATTCAAATTACGTCGTAGCTATACGAGATCTATTTTCCAGGTCACACCGTGGTCTTTACGCCTTGGTTATAGACTTCTTGTGTAGGGACCAAAACCGTAACGAAGTTCATCAAAAAAAGAACACGCCCCAATTGAGTTCCGTCCATGCTAAACAACTTCCTTGATTTCCAAGTCGCAGAGCTAGGAGTCATAGTGGTCTGCGTGCGTGAAAATGGACTTCACTAATTTTTACTAGCAGTTAGGACACTATCAACCATTTGGTGCTGGTACCGTAGTCTTTCCACCAGTTGCCAAACTGTATACGGCGCCGTCTCCATGAAATAATTAGCAGAAAACGATGTTGTCTTTGTGAAGTGATTTTGCATCTTCCACGGTAATACACGGTTATGTCTCCTGTAGGCCTGTTTCGTGCATTTAGTGGGCAAATTACGCTTGGTAGCGAGGAAACATTGGCCGTAATATTACGTTGATAACGCCCTGCTTTCAACATACCCTCCGTGGGTGAACGGTTACCATGCCGGACTGCCACGCAGAGGTCCCAGGTTCGATTCCCGGGCCAGGAGAAATAGTTGTATGGCCTACAATTATTTCTCTCGTGAGTTTGGGTGTAATTTGTGGTTGTCTATGTGTGTGTCCATGGCACCCGCGACACAGGGTTTCCCTAGTGCGGGGCTATGTTGAGTGTGTGCGTTATTTATTATTATTATTATTATTATTATACCCATAGCCTTAAGTATCTCTTCCCGCAGTAAATAATAACGTGACTCTAAGAACCACAAGAAATACCAAAAATAAAAATAAATTGTTTAACACAAGAAAAACAAACGCAAAGTTATGAGTTTCAATTCTTTACACAAGAAAAGTATGTAATCTGAGCACGTATCATGTTTTCCTTCATATTTTTTTTATCATGTCTTCCTTCATAGTTTGCTTTTTGTTTTATTTTTTAAATTTAGAACCATTATTGAGTAAAATATGAATTTGTATTTATACATTTTCAGTGGCCTATAGTTCATTGGCTTGTTGAGGAATATATACATATATCTACATAACAATACAAAAATATGGTCTGCTAGCTTAATTACTGTACAGAATTAAATAATAATTGTAAGCTAAATTTGAAAGCTACCTAGATTTTCATAATAATGTAGTTAAAAACCGTGTTTAAAGAAACAGCTTATTAATGTAGTTAACATAAGTAGAATTATGTATGTTTATTATATTAATAGGCTATTTTTGTTGTTATCTGGCAAACTACTTTAAAATGGTTAGCTTTTTTTAGGAATTTTGTGTTTGTAAGTTTTAGAAAACAAACTTCAACATCACCAGCAAATATCACAATGTTACAAGAGTTATTTATCCAAAAATGTAAATAATTTATATTAAGTATAAAACAGGAATGAGCAATAGCATTTATCCCTGCGGAACGCCATTTTAATTTACTCTCCCTTCAGCGAGCTAAATTAATTGAAATTAGAATTCAAATTTTAAATAATTAATTGGTCAAAACGACGATGTCCAATTGAGAAAGTCTCCAATCTGCACTTCCCAGGCCGCAGAAGATTCACAATTATGGCCGCCAAGGTACAAAAATCCTTTTCTCGAATTACAGGCTTTGAATTTACTTAAAATCTGCTTACGTTTTTGTCTTTTCTCTAATGTTGAATTTAAGAGCCCTAACCTGAGGCTATTACACACAGACTCTTTGTCCTTATGTGATATACGCACGAAACACCATTGCGGGTGACATGGACCATGCAAATATTTCTCCCAGCCCGGAACCGAACCCGTGACGTCTGCGTGGTAGATCAGCATGGTAACCGTTCGGTCACGGAGGCAGTTGCAATAAATTTTATTGGTTGCAATTATTGGATACAAAGTACATCGAATCTTTACACTACACATTTTGTTACACATACCATTGTTAGATTGAATGCGACTGTTTTTATTTTTCAAATTTTATCTTTAGCGTTAAATTAGAATCAAACTTAAGTATGCGAAGCGAGTTGGTTATTTTTCACGCAACTTTGAATAGCCAGTCTGTAATTTTACATATATAATATTCATACTCTTTGGCACTACTAAAAATCGGTTAATTTTACCTAATACGAATAAGGTGTTGAATATTGTCGAGGTCACGTATGTCGCACGTGTCAACAAATCTCGAATTGCTTGTTAATGCTCCGAAAATGGTGAAGATGTATCTCACATATAAACTATAAGTCCCACTATCAAAAGTTTGGATTATACACCACAAAGTACGATGTTGCTGATTAGAGAGAGAGAAAGAGAGAGAGACAGAGAGATTTCCATTAATTAATCATATTTTTTTGTAATAAATAACGTGAAAACCTCAGCAGTGTAGCAGAAACTAGTAATAATAATATTATAATACCGCACACGCTCATAGCACCGCACTAGAGACACCCTGTATCGCGGGTACCATGGACACACACATAGACACACGCATAGTATTTAAGTTGGCTGTTGTTGTTCCTTAAAAATAAAATAAAAAATTATAAATAGACAGCCAGAAATTACAAACAAACGAGAGAAATAAACGTAGGCAATACAAATATTTCTCCTGGCCCGGGAATCGAACCCGGGACCTCTGCGTAACAGGCAGCATGTTATCGTTTGGCCACGGAGGTAATTGAAGTTTACTGTAGAGCAGGTGGAAGTTTCCTGTCTGTCTATCTGTAGTATGTATGTATTTAATTGAACATGATTTGATTTTTTTTTCAAACAAACTAACGTTGCTGGTTCTACAGGTCTCATGGTCACAGCCAACTCACTAATTAATCATGGCTGATTTGGAATTTTCAACTTTTTCGGGTTGTACATAATATAGCAATCGAGAAAAGCAAGAAACTCGATGGGATTTGATCATGCTATGTTTGTTTATTATTGACATTTTTTTTATAATATCAAGTGACGGGACGAACAAGTCGTGCGCCTGATGGTACGCTACACGCCTGTCCATAACAGTTGCAGTGCCACTCAGAGCTTTAAATCGCAAAGATCTGAGGGGCACTGCAACTGCGCCCGTCACCCTAAGAAATAAGTTGACAAGTCCCATGTTTCTTTTCACCAGCACCCTTACCCTTCAAAAACGGTTTATCGATTTATCATTTACGATTCGATTTGATTATTATATTTTTGTTCACTATTGACATGTTTATCATTTATCACTTTTATTTTTCCTTTACCCTTAAATAACATGATATTGATATTTATTTACAAATAGTGAAAGCATTTATTCCAATAATCTCAGTACAGAGTACTAAAAAAAAACTGACCTCAAAAGTACGTGGAATTACATATAATTACCAAGTTTTATTAAAATCGGTTACCTGAAAGTGCGCAAATCCGGATTCATCTCCAAGTTTGCCACTATACGAGACTTGACACACAGGATAATAAAAATCGCAAAAATCTCAGTACTCAAAGTATAGGTACCAAGAGAGAAAAACGCCTTGAATTGGAGAATATCAAAATCAACCATTAAAATAATTGCTTCGTATAATAAAATTTAGGCGCTATTTATAAAAAATGCACAGCCACCCTTAGAGGTGGATGATTATCTTCAAAATTCAATGGGAGTACTATGGAGGTACCCTCTTTTCTACGAAAAAAGAATCATGAAAATCGGTTCACAAATAACGGAGTTATCGCGTAACATACATACCAAAAAAAAACCGGTTAAAAATAGTACACCATTCAAGCAACCTTTAAGGTATAGTAGAATATCATAAAAAAGACACTTTCTACATATTAATAATGAGAGTAGCGGGTAAATGTTGAGGGTATACATCATTCCGTACGATTCATTGTAGTTTTTGATGTACCATTGTTGCGATAGTAACACTTACTCTTCAAAACCGGAACACAGTAATGCTGACATTACTGCTTGGCAGCAGAAATAAATAAGGTGCCAGTTACTTTCCTGGACGAAGATCTTTACTGCTATATAAAGATGTTTTCACAAGGTGCTTACACCTTGGGAAAAAACAACAAAATATTAATGTACACATACAGTGTGTTAGTTTATAAAAATAATATCATTAAAATTATTAATACAAAGATCGAACACGTAGAAAAAAAATCACGGAAATAAGATAAACCCCACGGAATGAATCAGCGGTCCTCGCGAATTTTTCAATGTGCTTGTTTGTTGGATCTTTGTATTCGGTTTTTTCAACGACTTTTTAGTCACGGCAGGGCGCAGGGTTTGCTAGAAGACGTCGGTTTAAATCCGGCCGTATCGAAGGAATTTCTTCTAAGTCTTCGACCTTTGTATTAATAATTATAACAAACTAGTGGAGTAATTTCACAAAAAAATAATATCGTTAAAATTTGGACGAACTTACTTACTTTTATTTTCATTGTCAATTTCTTCTTTCGTAGACATTTTGTAGCACGGCTATTACAGCGACTAGAAAATCACAACTCACTTTGTATATTAAAAATAAGACATAAATTAACTAAAGTTATTTGTACCACGCAGTTAACCGCAAACTAAACTGACACTAAAATAAACATTTTAAAACAAAAATGTGAAGAATCTGCCCAGGCGGTGGCTGCGCCGGCGTTCGACGCACTACGTTTTTGAAGCGTCGCTGATAGTTTGATCTTTGATTACATTGATCTCTAGATTCGTACTAAAGTCAATCAGTATGAAATGAAAGATGTCTCAAGTTACAAACTAGATGAAATTTTAAGATAAAATAATTTGCTGAAGTGTGTAGGTACAGTTTTTTTGTTTTTTTTTTTAAATAATAAATGACACACGCTTGGCCATTATCTCACCTGATTTTAAGCGTCGATGTGACCGACGATGGGACGCATTTGCCTAAAAAATGCCTATTCACTCTAGCCTTGAAAAGGCCTAAATTGTACTTTTCGGGAAATACAGATAGAGAGTAGAGTACTCCATTCCTTTACCGTACGCATCAGAAAGGTGGAAGAAAAGCGTTTGGTGCGAATAGGTGGAATATCAACGACATAAGAATAGACTGCTCCGGACCTTCTAGTCGACCAAAGGACGAACACTGTATTTAGTAGGTAAAGTGATTCATCGACATTTTATTTTGAACATTCTTATCGTATTAACGTTGCGTTAACTCGGAACTCGGATCAACGAACCACGTCGCTTAGAACACTATGACATGCCGTCACACGAGCACGCGACGAAGCGTAGCAGCTCTAAGGTATTCCGTAATTCCTGAACTTTATGTTATGAAATTTGCTTAGTATTTATTATTATTCCCGGGCCGGGAGAAATATTTGTACGGCCTACGTTTTTTTCTCTCGTGAGTTTGGGTGTAATTTGTGGTTGTCTATGTGTGTCTCCATGGCACTCGCGATACAGGATTTTCCCTCCCTAGTGCGTCAGTGTGGAAAAGGTGTATTTCTGTTGGCGAACCTGATTCATTTAGCACAATTATTTTATTCCAATATTTGCAACGATAACAAGTGTTATGGCACATTATTTATTTACCTCGCAATCTGTGTGGCTGACTGTAATAAGATAATTTTAATACTTATCGAGTTCTTACATTTCTGCGATTGCCACACATTGGCAATGAAACAAATTTTTCGGATAAAAATCGCATACATATTCATATGTTTGTACTATCTGGTGCCCGCATCGTTATCTGCGTAGAAAGTACTTCGAGTAGCCTACTGCAGCGTACTAATACTAATTTTCATTACAAAAGGCATAAAAATATGAATATTCAGATCTCCTACTCGAGAAGTGTGTGGTTCTCCATACAAACTTTCATCCCCTATTTCACCAACTTTAAGATTTATTTTTATGACAAAAAGTAGCTTATGTCCTTCCCCTAGGGCCTTTCCATCTTTAAACCAAAATTCGTTAGATTTGGTTTAAAGGTTTAGGCGTGAAAACGTAACAGACAAAGTTACTTTCACATTTATTACAATATTATATTGGATTTAAAAAAGCTTCAGTCATCCGTGATCATGGGATTTATAGATATTATTTAAAGAACCTGAAACGTTATGTACACGATTTAGATCCGAAAACAGTTCCACTTCCACTTTTAATACAGTAAAATTATCTGAAATACAAGCAATGTTATCTATGTATTTGATAAATATCACATTACGTGCAGATGTTGCTCTTGACACGTAATCAGCATATTTTGTTTCTTACTTCCATATCATTGTTAATCTCCGCAACGTAGGAATATATTTTAATAAATCTACTCGCGTGTATATATTGGATGTAACTTTACGATAGGAGCATGAGTATGTCCTCGTGGTCTTACTAGTAGGATACGTAAGATGTAAGTTTCTGTGCTAAGGCTTGACATTGTGAAACTTCCCACAAAAACAGAGAAACGTACTTCTA